GTCTAGTTTGCAAACGAGTCCGCAGTAGTCAGTAGCAGTGTCTCTTTCGAAAGAGTGGCGGCCAGTGACGGCGTGAAAGTAGTAGTCGTGACTTGTAGTGCCAGTGAGTTCGCGGCAACGAGTGCCAGCGCCCCCTTTAGAGATAACCCTGTCGAAAGCAGTGAGCCGCTCTAAGTTCAATCCATTGATACCAATGCCTCGTCCGAAGCTACGTCCATTGATAGCAGTGTCTCGTTTTCGGATGCAGCCATCGATCGCGATGTCTCGCGCGGGGAAAACAGTGAGCCGTTCCAAACTACATCCATTGATGGCAGTGTCCCGTTCGGAGATACATCTGGTGTTACCAGTGTTTCGCTTGGGGCTTCCTCCATTGATAGCAGATTCTCGTTTGGGGATGCAGCTAGCGAAAGCGCTGAGTCCTTCAAAGCCTCCCGGCCTCTTACTGCCAGCCCACATTTTACTTTTGCTTCTGATAGCCGTCTTTGGTTCAGACCGTGCCTCCAGCACTGTAATGCCCCTCGCCAGAACGTGCCTTTCCTGCGCGGTCCACATTGCAATGGCCCTCGCCTCGCCGCGAGACTCGGCCGCGTCCTCGGCGTCTCGCGACGCTTCTCAGCCTGCGAAGGAATCGGTTCCTGTCTGCACCATATCAGCAATGTTGCGCTTCTGGAATGAGCGCAAGAATAGGGTGCTGCATTGGGTCTGGGAGTGGGCGCCCGAGGTGCTGCCGCGGCAGGCGGCGAGCCGCTGAGGCGACTGCCCTCGCCGCCACGGCTGCCTCACTTTTACCCGTGGTGCTTCTCAGCCCGCAGTTGCTTTTCTAGACAAGTCGGCGCTGACGGGGCAGCGCTCTCTCCTTTGCAGGCAATTCGAACATCCATCATTGATAGCAGTGCCTCGTTTCCAGACAAGTCCACTGTTCGTAAACATGTCTTCTTTGCAAATGGGGGCCACCTCAAGAGCAGAGGAGGAGGGGGGGGGAGGAGGAGAACTAGGAGAAGGAAGAGGAGGAGGGGCAGAAGGAGGAGGAGGAGGACGAGGACGAGGAGGAGGAGGAGGAAGAGACGGAGCACTCTGTCGCTTGCAGACGCATCAACCATTGATAGCAGCATCTCGTTTCCACACAATCCCACTATTGATAGCAATGTCTCCTTTATACAGATATCTCCCTCAAAGCAGAGACTTCAAATATCCATCTTCGAACGCAGTGAGCCGCCCGAGATTAAATCCATTGATCACGGTGTCCCCTTCATTGATGAATCCATTGATAACAGCGTCTCCTTTGGGGATACATCCATTGATATACATAATAGCACAGGGACTGTTCCCATATATGGTTCTACGCATCGCTGCTTGGTTGTTTTGCCGGGATATTTGATTTTTCAGAGCCCAGAGAGGAACCCAAAACAGGCCAATAACGCCCCAAGGGGTTCCGATGACGGGCCAAGAGGGCCCTGAGTCGCCGAACGACCGGTCCAAGAAGTAAAAAGGATAATGAAGACCATGTAGTAATAGTTTTGAGACATGGTGTAACATGGCGGCCGAGGAAATCCGCGCGTTCTTTTGAAATTGTATGGTTACTAAATTCACTCCTTCTCCCCCTCCCGCTCCCCGTTTCTGCTTCCACGGGCGAAGGCCAGGTCGCAGGATGTCCGCCCGGCGGCGTGTGGCGGCCGGGCCTGGCTGATGTCAGCCGCCCACGATTCCCACCTTGGGGAGCTCCACGGGGGACGGAGGGTCGCTGCCGGAGGTTTGGAGACCTGGAGATCCGATGTGTTGATTTATTGAACATGGGGTCCACGTAAACCCCGATTTTTCCCCAGGGGTCGGATTCTCACCTTGGCTAGCTTTGTGTTATCCCAGGGCCTGGCGTTGGTTCCGGCCGAAAACGGCGAAACACGCAATTGTGTTTTTGGGGATACGTTGGGGGTCTGGGGTTTCGTGGCGGGATGATGACGCGTCTGGTTTCCTGGATCCTCGGGCGCTCGCCTGCGCAGCGGGCTGCACGCAGAGCCCGTCCGAGTAACCCTGCACTTGCTCGCTGTCGCTGCCGAGGGCGCACCTCTAGTATATTTGTTTTTCAACCTCGACGACCTTCCCGTTTCTTGCGGCTCATCAGTCGCGTCGCTCCTTCTTCCGTATACTTTTGTCGGGGGATACGCTGGCTTCGCATGGTGTCAGGAGGATGTGGTTCGGCCGAGTCCAAGTCGGTCGTAGCTGGCCACGAGATCCCAACAGGGGGACCCAAGAGCAGCGTGCTCCGCCGTTTGCCTGCTGGGCGGCCCAGCAGGGAAATGGCGGAGCACGCTGCTCGGGACGCGCATTGGCTTAGCCTGGGCCGATTCGCGCGTTCGCGTCCCGTGCTGCATTTTAATTTACTGGACGGTTTCACGTATGGTGGCGTCGTCCCAAAGAGATCGGACATCGAACAGAGTCCACCCAGGAAAACGACAGAGGCTGCGGATAGTTCTGTCAACAGGCCTCTCTTGGATGCTTGTGGGGATCTCTTGGGATGCCTCTTTGCAGCGTTCAGCTTCGGTTCGGAAGTGTCTTTAGGGGTCTCTCGGGGCCTCCTGGGGCTTACTTTGGGCCTCTTGGGGACCTGCGGGCGGTCTCGGGGGTCATCTTGGGGCGGAGGGCTCGAAATGTTGGTCCGTGCTCCTCCTCCGGGGCCTCTCTCCTCTTGGGCCTCTCCTGGGGCGATCTCGGGGGCCTCTTGGGCGGTCCTTATATGTCCTCGTGAGCAGGCATCATGTGCCGCCTTGGCGCGTCGAAAGCCCGAAAAGGCGAGAACGCTAAAGTCATGCACGCAATGATGGAAAATCAATGATGTGGGCTTCCTGGGCCCTCTTTGGGAATTTCTTGGAGCCATCTTGGGGCATGTTGGGGGCCGCGTAGGCCATCTCTGGCGTCCTTGGGTCGCTCTAGTGCAGTCTTGAGGGCTTCCTAGGACTTTCTTGGCCCGTCTTGGGGCCACCACTGCGACTGGAAATGAGCGCCCAAGAGATCCGTGACTCGGGCCTGCTGGCCCCTCAAAAAATCATTTACAGCAGTGCACGCAGAGAAGGAACTGGAGGACACTTCACTCCGTGCCTCGATGCGGGTGGCGGATTTTCAATATTCGGTACGAAGTCAAAGGGGCCTCAGGACACTCCATTCAGTGCCTACGGCACGGCGGCGGATGCAGTCCTTTCCAAGGCAGTCCGCCGCAGCGCATTCCTTCCAGACTTCTGCAGCAGTCACCCCCACAACGACAGCTGCTACGAGTTGTCTGCTGGTCAGCCGGACGATGGTTATCCCATGGTTCATTCGGCTATCAATGACGGTTGGTTCGACGTCGGCAGTGACCCGTATTCATTTGCCGTCTTCAACGGTCGGTTGTACGGCGCGCGTTGAAAATACATGTTCAGTGATGTCAAAGGGCAGTGGAACAGTATCGGATGCAACGGTCACGTTCGCTGTTTCTGTCGCAGGCTCAGGGGCAGGCCACGGAGTGCGTCTTTCATGGGTAATTTCGAGCCTCCGGGTCAGATTGCTTCGTTTCCCGTTTGCCTTTGGACGGCCAGTGTACGGCAGGTGCGTTTCTGTTGTCTACGGTGGTTGTTCTTCCTCTCTTCCCCCCCCTTTGGCCTCGCTGCCCCTCCCTGCGCCCACGCCATCCCATGCATTCCTTTATGTCCCGCCCTTATCTTCCCATGCCGTCCCTTCTCTGCCTCCTTCGCTCCCTCCTCCGCTCCTATCCTCGACTTATTCAACTGAACTAAACTCCCTTCCTCCCTCCCTCCCTCCCTCCCTCCCGCCCCTCTCCTCCACTTCCCTCCCCATCCCTCCTCTCCTGCGATCTGTCTCCCCCAAGCAGCCCATGTCCCCCTGAAAACGAGGCCCATGCCGAGTACAAAGAGCACGCCGACAAGATCGTGCTCACGGACGGGTGAAGGGAGACGGTGTATTGTTGGAGAGGGTATTCTGATTTTGCGCCACGCCGCTGACCCCTGGATGGCCCTGGGGGGCGACTCTTCCGGGGTGCGTTGTCCACTTGCGAATCCAATGCCGCTTCCAAAAGCGCAATGCTGGTTCGTCTAGGGGGCTTGTTCAATGCCTCTTGGGGCTTTAGGCCCCCTTGTGCCATCTCCGCCCGATTTAGAGTCCTTCGGCGGCTCTCTTGATGTCCGCTGAGGCCGTCCTGGGGAGTGCAGAACTCCAGAGGCCTTCATGGCCCGCGTAGAACCAGCACCTGGTCATTCTGGACCTTTCTTGAGGCGCTCTTGGGATGCCGTGTGGTCTTCCCCGGCGGCATCTATTGCAACACATTAGGGGAAGACACCCAATGAGGGCATGGCGTGTGTTTGTATCCTGGTCCTGTTCATGGGTAGGTTTCTGTGGGCAAGCGCGCGGTTGCCATGGTGTATATCGGCGCTGTGGTGTACGCAGGCACTTTGGTGCACGCAGGACCACCAGGGGACATCGGCGCAATGTTGCACGCGGCTGTCGCAGTACAGAGGTGCTGTGGTGCGCGCGAGCGCAATCGTGCACACAATCAGTGCGGTGCACGCAGGCACTGCGTTGCACGCCGGCGCCGGCGGTGAATTCTCTGTGGCGTAGAGGCAACACAGATCCCATGCTCTGATAAGAACGACAACGAGTGTTCGTTTGTATGTTCGGCTTCTGTTTGTTGGATTGTTGGATTCGTTTCGTCTGGAGTTGCGCTCGTGGGAATTTTCCGAATGTTTTGGCTTGTCCGTTCTCTTTCCCAGTTCCTTGTCATCCTCCCCCCATCTTCCTTCTTTCCTTCAATAGTTGCCAGGATGCACGTTTGCGTGATCGTCTATGGGTTTCGTTCCCATATTGCTAATTAGAATTTTGCAGTGCTGTTGGTTTCTCACCCCCCCAACTGTTTCCAGAAGCTATGCAAGGCGGATCCCCTGCGAACGGCGCAGCTCATCGACCGAGCTGTAGTTTGTCCAGGGGTGTCGGCCGCGCTGGACACGCCCAGGGCAGGCAGCCCGAAACGCACGGGCAGCCTGCACGGGCCAATGACCCACGAGAGTCTGAACGGGATGCGCCCGTGCATCTTGGCCGCGCCGCGTTTCACTTCGGACATGCAGCTCCCGTGCAGGTTACCGCTCGCGGCCGCGTGCTGCACGCGTGGGAAACCTTGCGCGGAAAACAAGCACGGTCACGGCTACCATCACGGTGGTTCAGATGGCGCAGGACGCCCAGGCTGGGCACGCGCGCGACTATTGCACGAAGGGGCGGCCGATGGCGTTTCACGAATCGCGGGGATGTTGCAAACGCATCGAATTGTTCGAGAAGCAGATGGACGGTGAGAGCGCGAATCGCATCGGAAAGCGAGTGACGACCCGCATCAGGAGAGCCGCGCGCAGGAAGGACATCGTGCGAGGCCAGGTGGGTTGCGCCAATTCGTTGGCGCACGAGAAGGGGGACGACGTTGCTGCAGTGGAGTAAATTTTGGTAGGGCAGCACGTAGGATAGCCCCGTTCCACGGGCGGGAGCACGTGGAAATTGTAGAACGGCTCGCCGAGGGCGCCACCGGCGGACGGAAGCCTCAATTCGCGGAGGCGGGCATGCGGAGCACGAGACGGCGGCGGGTGGCAATCAGAGATACTGCCGCGCTGCGCGGGCAGATGCCGGAGCGGGGCCACCTGCGGCGCCTGTCCCGGCGCGAGTTCGCGGCGCCATGGGCGCCCAGTGCGGCGATGTGCCCGACGGGGGGGGCGCCGGGCGCGGGTGGTCTTAAACGTCGCTCGTTTCCGATTGAATATGGGGCGGCCAAGGTGAAGTCGAACGGGCGCAGCAAGCGGCAGGGGGAGGAGACTATGGCGGAAGACGACGGAGTCGAAGGCTAGGTTCCGTTCCCGGGTGCCCGCGGGCGCGCGCCGATGCGTCGCGCTTGGGCGCTGGTTAGAAGCAGAAGGCTGGAGGCCCCGACGTTCTTCGGCGCGCTGGTGCCGCGCGGCCGACCTGCGGAGGCTGAGCGGTCGGGGCGCGTTTTCTCCCCCTGGGCGCTGCGGCCAGATGCGGCGGGCATGCGCGCGGCGTTCGCCGGGGAGCTGCGCGGCGAGGCGAAGTCGCGGGGCGCCGCTATGGCGCCGCGGTTGGGCGGTTGGGGCGCAGGCGGAGGAGGCCGCGCGGCGCGCGGGGAATTTCCTCAGCGCGCGCCCAAGCGACGGGGGAGACCCTGGCGCGCGCGCCGGCGAGGGCGCGCGCGGCGAGGAGTTGGGCGCTGGGTCGACCAGTTGGACGAGGCGCCGACGTCGCGCGCCGGCGGGCGTCAGCGGCGGCGAAGAGGGCGACTGCGGAGGAGGGGACCCAGGATGCATTTTGCATTGCCAGACCTCCGTGGAGGGGACGCCCGTGACACGGCAGGCGTGGGGGGGCGCGCGGGCGCGACGGCGCTCGGCGACGCGACGTCGCGGTGTCCGAGGGCGGAACAGGGCGGCGTAGACAAGGCATCGGAGCGAGCGCGGTTGTCCCCTGCGAAGGGGAAGAGAAGTCCATGGCCGACCGACTCGCCTCTGGGGCAGACAACGGGCGCGCTGCAGCGCGACCGAGAAGCAGCATGCGACGGTCAGAAGAGCGGCGCTCCGAAAGATGCGGGACGTGGGGAGGGGGGCCGGAATGGCGACGACACGCGCGAGCCATTGCGGCGAGTCACGCGCGGAGGGCCCGGGCCGAGGGAGTCTCGCATTGCGGATCATTCGCGCGGAGTCGTTCGAGGGGTTGGCGAAGTGGGCGATCGGGGCAGGCAGCAGCGGCGCCGCTGCCCCGCGGCGACGCCGCGCGCCGCGTCCAGCCGGCGAGCGCGGAGAGGAGAAGGGGGGGCGTGAAGTTGCAGTGCGAGACATTGAAACACGTGCTCCAGTCGAGGTGGTTGTTCGTCGATGAGACCAGCATGGCGAGCGCCAGATTGCTAGGTGGCGGCGCGGGCTCGAAACTTCGCGGCGTCGTGCGACGCGCGGGCTTCCGGGAACTGGGCGAAGACGGCGCGTGTTTGCCGTTCGGCGGGTCGAACGAGGCGTTCAGTGGTAATTTCTGGCAGCTGGCGCCGCTGGGTGGAGGGCTTCTGGCCGGCGGGCCGAGGGGCGAGTCGCGGCTGCCCGCGCGGGTGCATTTCCCCCGCGCGCGCTGCATGGCCAATATTTCTCGGGGGGCGGCGGCCAGAACGGGGGTCAGGGAGCGACCGAGCTGGGGGAGTGCAAACGGCGCGATGACGCCCGGGCGCAGGGGGCCCAGGGCGGGTTCCGCAGGGGCGCGCTCACCTAGCACGCGCGCGCACCCCTGCGTGGCCGAGATACCGATCCGCCCGAGAGCCGGCCCAAAGGCTAGGCGCGTCGCGGGGGCCAGACGAGCAGAGCGGTGGGCGCGGGCGTAGGGCGCGCAGGTGCGACGGCAGCGGGTTCGCGCCGAAATCGCCCGGCCACTCTGTAGGAGATGCGCAGGGCGCAGGGCAGGCCATGCAGGGGAGGGCGCGACCGCCGCTTCGTCGTCCACGGACCGGACGACCCGCTGTTGCAGACGGAGAAGTCCTGGCCCGGGCCAGGAGCATTCCCGGACAATGATGTGCGAGGTAAGCAGGTTCCGGGCGTCGCAGCGCGCTCGGCCCTGCGTGATGCCGACGGCGCGTGCGCCAGCGCGGGGTGCGTTCACGCCGAATGCGTTCCGTGGGCGGCCAGTCCTGCCCATGCAGGAGATGATTTGGCTACGTCGCCATGTCACGGAAAGCGGCGACTCGCGCGGTCTCCTGCCGATAGCGGGAGGCAAGCCCGCTTGCATCGCCGATCGCGTTGGCCGCGGCGAGGACAAGCATCTGCCGCGCGGGCGCGTCGGCCTCGCGCAGACGCCTGCGCGCGATGGAAGCGTAGAACAGCAGCGCGCGGCGCGCTGTGGCGAGGCGAGATGGTTAATAACCCCGTAGGTGATGCTTGCGCGGTTCGACGAAGGCGACGACGGGCGCGGAGGCAGGGGCCCGCGCGAGGGGAATATCCAGGGCCCAGCCATCCTGGTCTGCGCCTGATGGCCCCCCAATCGATGGGGCGCTTCGAGGACAGGGGCCGCGCGCGCCCGCGCCCGAGAGCGAAGCGGCGGCCATTTCCGCGGGCGCCCGCGCTCTGAGTCGCGGCTCGCGCAGCGCAGGGGCAGACGCGCTCGCGGGGCGCGCGTCGCCTCCGTCGAGCTACGCGGCGTCGACGCGGGCGCGACACCGCGAGGGCGCGCTCTTTCGCCGCTTCAATGTTGCGCCGAATCTGAAGAAGGTCGAGCGGAAGTGCCCCGATTTTTTCTTGCGGGCACTGCGCGGGCAGGGCATCGACTGCGACGCGGTTGAGAAGGAGTTCGCGCCGGCCGGCAGGCGCGCGGTCTGCGGCCGCGCGCAGCGCCAGGATCAGTACCCGGTCGGACAGTGGAGCCGCGCAGACGGGCTCCGCGTGCGCAGCGTATTTCTGAGGCGGAAGGAGAGCGTCGGCACGCCTTTGCAATTCATGCAACGCGTCCGTGGAAAGGCCGGGCGCTGCCCACGCGCCCCAGCATCGATCGTCTGGGCGGGCGACGCGGCGACGCGTGGATCGCCCAGAGAGGCGGAAGTGTTTCGCGTGCGAAATCCGGACGCGCGAAGGCGCGTTCGCGCCGCGCCAGCGGGGGCGGGCGTGCAATGGCCGATGTAGAGAGGGGACATGCGCAGAACGCGACAAGCTGAAGCGGCCCTCGACGTGCCCCCGCTGCTGCGGGGACAGGTTGACGGACGACTCTTTCAAAGCGAGCTAGAGCGGCGATGGGCGGCGATGAGCGGCGCCGCGCGAAGCGCCGGGCGGCAGCGAGGGGCGAGGGGAAGCAGCGCGCCGAGGAAGGGAAACGGAAAGTTTGCTCCTGATGTGGGACCGCAGAAAATAGGAGCGATTTTCCGATCACGCGCGGGTTGAACCCCCGAAGTTTCGCGCGCGCGGCTTCCGCCGAAATTGCACCTGGAAGTCAGGGCAGAGGGCGCGAAAGGAGGTGGAAGTCGGCGTTGCGCGCGCGGCGGCGCAACCGCAGAGCATTTTTGACGTTCGCTCGTTGACCGCCGCGGCGGATCGGCGCCGCGCGCGCGGCGTCGACGCGTCGAGGAGGCGTCGGGGCAGTGGGGCGCGATGGGGAATGAAGGCCCGCGCCGCGCGCGAGGTGGCGCTGCCGCAGAGCGCGTTTCAAAGCCGCGCGCGGACCGACGCGGCTGATCAGCGCCGCGCTCGCAGACTGGAACGCGTGGGGAAATTGCGGCGCCGCGCGGCTGGTGGGGGCGGATTGCACGCAGAAGCGCGTTCGGGAAAGCGGCGTCGGGTCTTTGTCCGGCCTCGCGCGCGACAGAGAAATCGAACGGGGAAGCAGCGGGTGCTTCGCAGATCAGGAACTCCACGAGAAACAGGTCGCCGAGAGGAGTTGGGCATCGGCCGCGAAGAAGAGAAGCGCGGGGCAGGTGCGATTGTCTAGCGCCTCGCGCGTGGAGGGCGGGGGCGGCGTGGGTTCTGGGCGCGAGCTGCGCGGCCCCAAGGACAGAGGCCCCGATGGGGTGGGCGGAAAAGAGGGGGCGCCAGACGCGACGGCTGAAGTTCGGGGCGAGTCTCGGGGGACAAATCGCAGGGCGGATGGGCTCCGATGCGTTATCTGACAGGGCGGGGGCGCCGCCGGGGCAGAAGTTGCAGAGAGGTGGTCTGAGGGGTGGGGGGGGGTCGCGGCGGGGGCCGGGGCGGGCTCCGCGCGAGACCGCGCCGGCCGGGGCGGCCCAAGAACAAAAGTTCAGAGAGGTGGTTTGCAGGGGCGGGGGCGACGCGCGCGGCGGGGGCCGGTTCCGTCCGGGATTCGCAAGGCGGGGCGCCCCAAGAGCAAGAGCCCCAGAGCGGCGGTCTGGGAGGCGCGGCGGGGGGCGAGGTGGGGAACGGGGCGGGGAGGCCCAAAGGACAGGTTCCAGAGATGCGGTCTGGGGGCGGGGGCAGGGCTCGTTCCGGGCGACGAGCGGGGTGCGGGGGGCCCCTGGAACATGCGCCCCTGCGGGGTGGTCTGAAAGGCGGGGGCGTCAGACGCGGCGGGGGGCGAGGCGGGGATCGGGGCTGGAAATTGCAGGGCGCGTGGCGCCAGGAACAAAAGTCCCAGAGGGGTGGTCCAGGAGGTAGGAGCGTCAGGCGCGGCGGGGGGCGAAGCGGGGGTCGGGGCGGGTTTCGGGCGAGAGAGGGCTGGGCCGGAGGCCCCAAGAACAGCAGTCCCAGAGGAGCGGGCTGGGAAGCGGGTTTGTCGGGCGCGGTGGGGGGCGAGGCGGGGGTCGGGACGGGTTCAGAGGGGGGGCATTGCAGGTCGTGGGGCCCCTGGAGTAGAAGTCCAACAGGGGGTGGGCGGGGGTGAAGGGGGCGCGGCGGGGGGCGCAGCGGGGTCGGGGCTGGCCCATCGACAACGCAGCCTTCCGCTGCAAAGCGAACTCCTGTGAGCACTCCCCAGAGTGACCACGCAGAAGGGGGGCCCTGTGCTGCGCAATTCCCGGGCAGGCAGCGCGTGCATTACGTGCGCAGATGTGCAAGCCGTATGCCAAGATCACCGCCGCAGGCCGCAGACACCGCGCTGACGACCTGGATCCCTGGCACACGCCCGAAGGCATAGAACCCGTCGACGCCGAAGAAGACGGCAACGCCGACAATCCGCAAGTCGTAAAAGTCGTCCAAGAGTGGCGAGGGCACCCTGTCTTTTCCACGCGCAGGGGAGGACAACTTAGAACACGAGCTCAACGCATCGCGAAGGACATACTGGACAACAAAACTGCTGAAATTCATGGGGGGGGCCGGTTTCACGTCGGACAGCGAACAGCGCCGAGACTCCACTTGCCAAGGCTGGACTCGCAGCAAATGGATCCAGCAGGGCCTCGGGAACCCGCCGCTTCTCGGCGCCCGCGGCGGCGTCAGGGCCGATCCACAGCCAAAAAACACGGGCGTCTTGGCGGATTTTGAGTCATAGCGCCTTGAGCCAGACACGCACACTCCACTCATATTCAGCCAATTCATGTTGCGACCCATACGCACGTCATATATATGAGCTCTATGCTCATCGCAATGGCATTCGAGCGCCCCACAGATGAACCGCCAGGGAGTAGGCCATTTGCCCAACCATTCGCGGCCAGATTCGATTGATTATTCTGGCAGGTAACCGTCCTTGTGGCCCAGGCGTATCGTTTTACATGCTCCCATGCTCATCGCCAGGTAGTTTGTGTGACAGTCAGGCGCCTAGAGGACGAGCCTCCAGGGGGTAAGACATTGGTCCGTTCTTGCCTTCATGTTGGGAATCTCTCAAGCGGTTTGTCTGTTTGGTGTTTCATATGTTTCTTTCTTCAGAGCCGCATCAAGAAAGAACCGCCACGGAGTATGACTTGTGCCCACTGGCGCTCAAATGGTGGGGATGTCTCAAGCGGTTTGTTTGCTCCGGCGTCTCCCTATTCCTCTCGCTTGAGAGAACCATGCTTATCGCGGTGTAGCAAGTGTGGCAGTTGCGTACCCCACGGAGGAGCCGCCAGGGGTGGTTTCATTTTGCCCTTCGCGCCCTGATTCCGGGTATGTCTCATGCGGATTGCCCGCTTGGTAGCCCAGACATGTTCTTTTCCAGAGCCCGCCGATTACCGCGATATAGCAGGCGTGGCGTTTCAGGATTCCACGGAGGAGCCGCCAACGGGTATTGGATTTGCTTTTTCGCACACGAACTGTGGGGATGGTTCGAGCGGTTCGCTGGTTTGCCCCTTTCCCCGATTCCTCCCCGCGAAGACCCTCATGACCACCGCGATGTAGTAGGAACAGCAGTTGCGCACCCCAGCGGGGAGCCGCCAGGGGGCGCTACACGTGCCAGTTCGCGACCAGATGGTGGGACATCTCAGACGAAACGCTGGTTTCGGCACCCCCAAACCCTCTTCTTCAGAGCCCCCAGATCATCACGATGTAGCAGGCATTGCATTTGGGCAGTCCAGTCGGGAGCCGCCAAGGATAACTCAGACGGAACAGGGTAAGATTTCCGTACTCAGAGAGGCGGACGTGCCAGGATTTTGTATGCAGGACTTCCGCGTTGAACATCTCGATGTCTTCCTCTCTCTCCCTCTCTCTCTTGATTCCCTCTCCTCCTCCTCCTCCTCATTCTCCTCCTCCTCCTCTTCCTCGTCTCTGCCCCGTCCCGCAATGGAGAATTACGGGGCGATTGCGGGGACCTCTCATGCTGCGCTGAAGCCCCTTGTAGAGCGGGTCGGGAGGGGAGGCCTCTCTGCGGTTTCGCAGGCCATTCCGGCACGATGGCTTCTTGGACCAATTCGTTTCCCCCCCGTTTAGGCAACGGCGGCTATGGTAAGCGGCATGTTATGCGTGCCAGAACGCTCAGCGATTTGGGCGCCGCACGCCTGGAATCGTATGTGCAGTGCTGGATGTGCATGGAAAGAGTTCGACGGGATATGCAGGCAGACGAGAAGACACGGGACAGCCCCTCGAGAAGGGGACCAGGAGAAGGAGGAGAAGGAGGAGAAGGAGGAGGATGAGGAAGAACAGGCGAGGAAGGATCAGCAGGAGGGGGCACGAGTTGGTAGGGATTGGAGAGGACATGGAAGATGAGGAGGAGGAGGACGAGGAGGAGGATGAGGAGCGGGAGGAGGAGGAGGACGAGTAGAAGCTTTCGCGAACTGTGCGCCCGTTGGGAGGGGCGGGCGGGCAAGGAGAGCAAGCTCGCCGGCTTCGATGCGCCCAGCCCGCCGCCACTGCCACCCTCGCGCCCCCATCCCAGGACGGGCATTGGAGACAGGGGTGAAGAAGGAGAGGGGAGGGTGGAGGTAGGGAGCGGCATGAGGAGGATTAGGATAGGACCCTTCGGACGGCAAGGCTATGGCGGTACATCCACTGAGAGGGGTTGTGGTAGGCGACGCCATGCAGGGGCCCTACCACACTACTCGGCATGCCAGACAGCCCTGACCTTCGAGAGGACCATCCCAGTCGCTCCGAGGCTCCCCGGCCCGCTCGCCCGCGCGGCGCGGCCGAGGAGGGGAGGAAAAGTTCCCGCCTCAGCCCGTCCGAAGGGGTTGCTTCAGAACTGCATCCCATCCCGTCCTCATGCGAGTCGTCGAGTTGCGAGGACAGATGCTTCATGGTGAAGGTCCTGACGGCAGTCACAATTGCCCTCAATTTGGCCAGATGTTCCGTCCTGTTGTGCTGTTCGTTGAAGGTGTTCTCCATATGTTGTTGCAGCTCGCCGATGCGATCGTCAACAAGCTACAGCTTTCCGCTCTGCCCGGTGATGGTCTTCTCCATATAAGCGACGCCAAACAAAACAGGGCTGTTTGCGCCGACAGTCGCGCGTAAGCTGCCCGCGTAAGGTCGCGTGTAAGCGCCCTCGTTTTCCGCGCAGTGTGCCGCGCTGGCGGCCCGCGTAAGTTGCGGCGTAGGGTCGCTATGCCATCTCGCGTAAGAGCCTTTTCTATGTTGTTGCTGGCTCTTGCCGCTTCCAGCGCAACACGTCCTGAAGTTGTCGAGTGCAACGTTCAGCTCGTCCATGCGCTCTGAGAGGGCCTCCATCTTGTTTTCGCTGGCCTTTATTTTCATCATCTCGATGCTTTCCTCCTTGGGTCAGGAGGCTAGCACCGTGCTGCACAGCCTCTGCACGCTCAACATGCTCGATTGGCTTCTGCATTCCGCATCTTGGGGGCCTTGCCAAGCCTCTTCGCCAATGGCACACCTTTGCCGTCGCTCGTCTTGACCAGGTCCTTCAGCACGTCTTGATCGGCGTCTCCCGTCTTGTCGCACACGTGGTTCAGGACGGCCTCGACCTCCTCGATCGCGGGCGGGTCAGGGATCACGCCATGGCCGGATTCAATGTGTGCCGCTGATCTTTGTACAGCTCCACGCGCTGCCGCAGCAACACCTGCATGCGCCTGCCGAGCGGTCTCTGCACGTCGCGCAGGCCAGCCAGAGCAGCACCGTGCGTCGCTTGGGCCACTGGAGGCAGCGCTGCAAATTCAGCTCCAAGCGAGTCCCCCTCCATGACCAGGCCAGATGGGGTGTCACCCCCCGGGCGCCTCGGGAAGAGGCGTGGCCGCCGCCACTCCAAAGCGAAAACTGTTCAAGCCAAAATGGCTGCGGGAGGGGCAGGAGGAGGGGGTGGAGGACTCCAGGGAGGAGGAGGAGGAGGATGAGGAGGATGACCAGGGTAAGCGTAACATGTATTAGCGACGCTGCGGGAGGCGCTCCCCTTGAAAGACGATCGCCCCATGGCCGGAGCTTCGTGTTGAGGGAAGCAGCCCGTCGTCCTTCGAGTTATTGGGCAACAGCCCTGCTGTAAAAAGGGCCCTTGCATCCTGGTAGCTGCTGCGCAATTCTGAATTCTTGGTCCCCGATCCTTTTGGCGTCTCAGGCGAGAGCCTCATGGTGAAAAGGGGCCGCCCGCAGGCTTTTTGTTCCCCCTCGTGCGTGTTTTCTTTATCTCCCTGGGGGTCGTATTTTTTGTTCCTCCGCCCTGCGGGGTTGTCGGGGATGTCCCCCGCTCTCGGGAAATGTGCGTGCGTGTGTGTTCCCCCATCGGAGTTTTGCTGTTGTCCCGCAGAGCTTTTTATTTCCCCCTCGTGTCGATGGTTTCCCCCTCACGATATTTGTCCCAACCCTCTTGTGTTGGGTACTCGTTTTGAATAGAGCAGTGTGGTCGCCCCGTCCTTCCTTCTCCACCCCCCTCTCCCCCCCTCCTCTTTCTCTCTTGTCTCCTGTGCTCCCTTCTCCTCTTTTCTCGTGCCGTCTGCGATCTGCGCAATTGTCGCCACTTTCGTGGGATCGTGGGAGGCCCAGCGGAGGTGGGTCCCACGCGGATCACCTCGGGACCTCGCCGCCCCCTGGGAGGCTTGCGATCTGAGCAATTGTCGCCACTTTCGCAGCTTCCTGGGAGACCCAGCGGAGGTGGGTCCCACGCTGATCACCTCGGGACCTCGCCGCCCCCTGGGGTGCTTGAGATCTGTGCAATTGTCGCCACTTTCGTTGGCTCCTGGGAGGCCCAGCGGAGGTGGGTCCCACGCTGATCACCTCGGGACCTCGCCGCCCCCTCGGGGACTTGCGATCTGTGCAACCGTCGCCACATTCGTGGGCTCCTTGGAGGCCCAGCGGAGGTGGGTCCCACGCGGATCACCTCGGGACCTCGCCGCCCCCATGGGGGGCTTGCGATCTGTGCAACCGTCGCGCCACTTTCGTGGGCCCCTGGGAGGCCCAGCGTAGGTGGGTCCCACGCGGATCACCTCGGTACCTCGCCGCCCCCAGAAGGGTTCGCAATCTGCGCAATTGTCCCCATTTTCGCGGGCTTCTGGGAGGCCCAGTGGAGGTGGGTCCCACGCTGATCACCTCGGGACCTCGCCGCCCCCTGGGGGGCTTGCGATCTGAGCAACTGTCGCCACTTTCGTGGGCTCCTGGGAGGCCCAGCGGAGGTGGGTCCCACGCGGATCATCTCGGAACCTCGCCGCCCCATGGGGTGCTTGCAATCTGGGAAAATTTCGCAATTTTCGTGGGCTCCTGGGAGGCCCAGCGGAGGTGGGTCCCACGCGGATCACCTCGGGACCTCGCCGCCCCCTGGGGCGCTTGCGATCTGAGCAGCTGTCGCCACTCTCGTGGGCTCCTGGGAGGCCCATCGGAGGTCACGCGGATCACCTCGGGACCTCGCCGCCCCTTGGGGTGCTTGCGATCTGCGCAACCGTCGCCACTTTCGCGGGCTCTTTGGAGGCCCAGCGGAGGTGGGTCCCACGCGGATCACCTCTGGACCTCGCCGCCCCCTGGGGGTACTTTCGCGGGCTCCTGGGGGGCCCATCGGAGGTGGGTCCCACGCGGATCACCTCGGGACCTCGCCGCCCCCCACGGGGTCTTGCAATCTGCGTAACCGTCGCTATTTTCGTGGGCCCCTGGGGGGCCCAGCGGAGGTGGGCCCCATGCGGATCACCTCGGGGCCTCGCCGCCCCATGGGGGGCTTGCGATCTGTGCAATTGTCGCCACTTTCGTGGGCTCCTGGGAGGCCCAGCGTAGTGGGTCCCACGCGGATCACCTCGGGACCTGGTCGCTCCCTGGGGACTTGCGATCTGCGCAACCGTCGCCACTTTCGCGGGCTCCAGGGAGGCCCAGCGGAGGTGGGCCACACGCGGATCACCTCGGGACCTCGCCGCCCCCTGGGGGGCTTGCGATCTGAGCAATTGTCGCCACTTTCGCAGCTTCCTGGGAGGCCCGGCGGAGGTGGGCCCCACGCTGATCATCTCGGAACCTCGCCGCCACCTGGGGTGCCTGCAATCTGCGTAACCGTCGCTATTTTCGCGGGCTCCTGGGAGGCCCAGCGGAGGTGGGTCCCGCGCGGATCACCTCGGGACCTCGCCGCCCCCTGGGGGCTTGCGATCTGTGCAACTGTCGCCACTTCTGTTGGCTCCTGGGAGGCCCAGCGGAGGTGCGTCCCACGCGGATCACTCGGATGTGCGTCATACGCGTTTCTTTCGACGTCCCTGTGATTCCATTTTGTAGATTTGCCGTTCCTCTTCTTGCTGCGCTCTTCTGAAATCACTGCTGGGTGCACTTATTGTTCGCTGCGGGCCCTTCAGAATGCCAGTCAGCATTGAGTGGTCCTGAGAAAAATCGCCACATGCACAGAAAGGGCAGGGCACGTCGCGGGGTATTTTTTTCTGGGGAGGGAGGGGGGGGGAGTGATGCAGAGGGGGTCGCCCAGGGTCCTGCAGGGGAGTCCAGGGGGGCGCCCTTGCGGGGGGTCAGCGAGGGGGTGGGGGGCGGGGGGGGCGTCGGAGGGCGCCGGCCCGCATCTGTCGCGCCACGCGCTGCCAGCGAGCGAGCCCACCCAGAATTCAACGATGTTCGACGTCGGCGGATCTCTCATCGAAGCACGCGGAAGTCGAATGTCGACGAAAGATCCGAGAACGCACCAGAAGCGCGCAACGTCGCGAAACGTTTCGGCGACGAGCACGACCATGGGCTGTCGACGAACGCCGAAGAACGCTGGCGAAACGTCAGCGATACTCAGGCGCTGCAGAGAGCCGATTGAAACAACAATAACATCGGATCTCAATTAATCTACGATGCATCATCAAACATCGAAGGGCGACACACACGTTAGTCGACCATCGAATGCTGATGCGGCAATGAAGTAGCGCGTCTCTGCGCCCCGAATATGCGCGAGCCTTGGAACCTGTGAGTTGTGCACCATTCATCGGATGCCCGGAGGATTTCGGAGGTTTCCGCCACATTTTTTCGCCCCCCCCCCCCCCCCCCCCCGCCCCCCCCCCGCGCAGCAGGCAGCATGACAGCATGATGGCATCATGAGGAGAGACGGATGATCCGCTACTGCTTCGCGCGCTCAAGAGGGCCCCGCTTCCCCCGCCCAGGCAGACAGAGCCGCAGTTGGGAATGGGGGCGAGGAGAACTGGCGCAAGAGGTTTGAAACTTCGATTCGATGCGATCGAGGGCTTAAAGAGCTTCGATTCTCA